CTGGTGGCATGTTTATCGACTGACTCAAGTTTACTCAGCTCTGTATCACAACTGCTATCGAGCTCATCTTCCAGCTCACAAAGCATGGCATGCCTGGGGTGACACTAAGAAAAGGCCCAGAAATGGAGACTTCCCAACTGCTCCTCTAGGTGTTACCCAGTTGTACAGAAATGAAAACCAGCATTCAAAGCAATCATCTTATAAGTACAGCATGATCCTAATTTTGTAAACAACGATAACAACAAAACTCAAAAAGTCCACGACATTACATACAGCAAGGCTACGGGGTTGTATCTAGGAGCACAGACTCACAAGCCAGAGTGCCTGGGACGGAACCATGGATCTAATATTGTAGTGGGTTGACTCCCTTCCTTCTCCACAAAAGATAAACCCACCCAGAACCTGTGGACATAATGTTATGTGGAGAAAGGGTCTTTGTAGATGTCGTTAAGATTAGATTTTGAGAAGGGATCATCCTGGATTAGGGTGGACTGTAAATCCTATAGCAAGTGTCCTTATCGAAGAAGACAAGTGGAGAACACATAGGGAGAAGGTGATGTGCAGATGGTGGCAGCGGTTGGAGTGACATGTCTACAAGCCAAGGAGCACCAAGGATGGCCAGCAGCCACCAGGAGCTGGCAGAGAGGAACGGGTTCTTCTTCCTCAGAGCCTCCAGAAGGAACCAACCCTGCCAGCACCTTGATTTCAGACTCTGGCTTCCAAAACTGTGAGAGGATAAATGTCTGTTGTTTTAAGTCATCCAGTGTGTGGAAATTTGTTATGGCAGCCCTAGGAGAGTAATACAAATATCAACCCTGGCCAAGTTACTTAGTGTCTTTAAACCTTAGTCTCCTTAGCTATAAAACAGGGATTATATTAATCCTAATTGTTTAGGATTATTGTGAGGATTAATGAGTTAATGTATGCAGGTTCCTAGAACTGTGCTTGGCCCAATATATTACTGGACACTATAAACAATTACTACCATCATGATCACGATGACTACACAAGCACAGGCACTGAGCAGCATCAGGGTGATATCTCTCTCTGGGTACTGGGATCAAAACTTATACTTCGTTATTGCTGCTTCTCTGTGTTTTACATATTATGTACAAGGGATATGTCTCAGTTTTGTAATCAGAAGGCATTCATTAATTTAAAGTAAGCACAGGCACTGAGCAGCATCAGGGTGATATCTCTCTCTGGGTACTGGGATCAAAACTTACACTTCGTTATTGCTGCTTCTCTGTGTTTTACATATTATGTACAAGGGATATGTCTCAGTTTTGTAATCAGAAGGCATTCATTAATTTAAAGAGACCGTTTTATATAAAGTGATAAAGGCTGCATACCTGCAAGCTCATCGTCAGATGCAGAGAACTGCAATGTTTGCAGTGATGGACTATTTAAACCACGTGCACACAGGCAGAAATCACATAGCTCTGGAGAAACAGCAATCTTATTATTAATACCTGAGAACTACAATGCACAAATTGCTACAGGTAACCTACTCTTTCGGAAGCTGAGATGCTCTGAAAAATTGCTTCCTGTTGCCTAGCACAAGGAAGCCTGATTTCTTGGGTATGTGTGTTTCTCTTTCCACACGTCTAGCGCTTCTACAATCACAGCATGAAACTTCCAGGTTTCATATTACACTCTCTCTGTCCTCAGAGTTTATAAAGTGACTCTATTATGCAGCTATTTAGCTATCTGCACTGGAAGCATCACACAGCTCTTTAATTTAATTGACCCATTTCTCTTATGGAAAGCACTATTTTGGGGATGAAGTACTAGCCTGACCCAACCACCCTTGAGTTGAGGGTTATTAAGGATGAGAATGTAACACAACGTAAAGCTAGTATGGCAGTGGGGACGTGAGGAGGGCTGCTGGCCAGCGGGCAGGATGACATGGAAGGGCACTGCGGCTCACCCGCTCCTCGGGGAGGAGAGACCTTCTGAAGCGTTTCATCAGCTACAAAATCACCTCCCTGGCCCAGTAATAGGCAGGCTGGTGGCAAGTACTTTTTAATAATCACTGTGAATTTCCAAAATACACCGTCTGCAAATTATTGTTATCAGCAGCTCCTTACTGTTGCACGTAGCAGGTTGTCCTTTAGCTCAGCAGAAACGGAGGGGCAGCCAGGTTAAAGCTCTTCTCCCAGATCCCCGAGTGGGCTGCAGGGCTGGGGCTTCTAAGCTTTCCCTGCCTCTGCTAGGTGAAGTGGTTAACCGGATCGTGTTCTCAACTTGTGGTTGTCGTCATCGAGCATGGGCATGAGGCGTTTCCTGGACTGCACCTGCAGACCCTCTGCCGCTGCACTTCCCGCCCTCCCTCCGGGCTTCCTATCCGAGCCCCGTCCCTCTGCCCTTTCCCTTCTTGATGGCCACAGCCACGCTTCCAGCCCGGGCTTCCCCTCTGCCTCAGCCACTGAAGACGAGGCTCAGTTCCAGAACTTTCTCTCTCCTCACCTGGGGTGAGTGGATTTTTGTCTAGTGATTCTGCTCCAAGTATCTACAAGCAGAATAGACAAGAGAAGAAAGAGAAAGGAAGGAAGGGAGGGAGGAAGAGGGGGGTGGGGGGGTGGAGAGAGAGAGAGAATAAACAGGTCTTAAACCCCTAAGTACTACTAGGAGTGAGGCCTGCTGCTCTTCTCCGTCTTCACTGCCTCATGGTTCCTCCTGGATCCCCAAGGAGCCGCCTTGTCAGTCTCTGCATCCCCAGCCTTCTCCCACCTCCTTTCTGTATTCTCTGGGTCCCCCTCCCCTGTGACCTCTCTGCCCCTCTTCCCTTTGGCAGACAGACCCTGCAGCTTGACAAGATTCATTCCATCTCAGAAGACACTTCTCCCTGTCCTGCCACCTCTGATTCCTGTCCCCTCTCCTTGGTTTTCCTTCCTCCTTCTGCCTTCTAAAAGTAGATATTTTCATGGATTCCTTCATTTCTGTCATCACTCAACTGTCTCTCAAGCTTCCTCAGGAACCTCCTACTAATAAGGCTGACTCTCAAGTACTAATGTCTAGACCTGACTTCTCCCCTGAGCACCAGACCTCTCTTTCCAGCTGACTCCTGGATATTTCTGCTCCTGTGTTCCAATAGCAACTTAAAGAAAATATGTACAAGCACCAGATTCATTTCCCTTTCTCTGAACTTGTCCCATGCCTCCCAGGTTCCCAGTATTTGCCAAAGCCGCAGCGCCTCCTACTGACCAAGGACTGAAGCTGCAGCATCACCTCGGACTCTCCGGACTCAAGACTCACTTGAGTCGATCTTTGCCACATCTCCTGCATCTGCTCTCTACTCTCCATTTCTTTCCAGCGTCCCAACTTCAGCTCTCCTTCTCTCTTGGGTGGGCCACTGTGACAGCCTGTTCCCTCTTCTTTCCGATGCCCTGCATCAGATTCACCAGCGGCTTCCACAATAATTTCCTAACAAAGGTCTGATCCCATTAGTTTGGCATTCGAAGGCTTCTATGATTTAGCTTCTAATATACCCTCCCACTTTCCAGCCTCATTCTTTATGTACGCTATTCTCGTGGTTGCTGAACCACTCAGTATTCCAGATATGTGGCCTATAATTTTTGGCTTTTGTATCTTTACAAATGCTGTTCCAGAATGCCCTTACCCAGCTTTCAATGATCAAATCCTTCTTGTCTTTAAAATTCACCACTGTCAAGATTACGAAACTCCAGCTGCAAGTGAGGTTCCTGCCCACTGACCCGTCTGTGGCATTTTTATCTGTGCCTCTCTTATGGCTCATATGGCATTTGATCTTGTGTCACCTTCCTGACTAGACACACCTGGCAGAGGAAGGCCCCGTCTGTTCAGCTCTGAACTTCCCACAGCACCTTGTGCCTCTGTGCCATGCCCTAATCAAACGAACAACTAACTCTGTAGACTTTCAAACACTCACCCTCCACCCAGACCCCCACTGAGAAATGCGTAAAAAGACAACAACTTGATTTTTGTTCTCTAGGGGCTTATAGCTCATTGTGGAGATTAATACGTATTAATTAAAAAGCAATAGAAGATAGCAGGATTACTGAGGATATATACTGTACACACTCTAAGAAATCAGAAGAGAGGTTCTATTTTTATGGAACTAAATTGGATCTTAGTAATAGGTTTATTTTGGATAGGCAGAAAGACGGATATTCCAGGGGAAGAGGGTATCAGGATTATAGGCACAGAAGCCAGAGCAAGTGTGGTTTGTTCATAAGATCATGAATAAGCCTGTCATAGTTAGGAAAGAAAACGACAGGGGGAGCAGAGGAGACCTAACATTCACCATTCGCTGCTGATGCTGGAACATGGACCAATTGTCCAGTAGGCATTATTGAATTTAATCCACATGACAACCATGCACAGGAGATCTCATCACTGCCAGTTTCATAAATAAGAAGTCTGAGGCGTGAAGGGATTAAGTAAGCGGCCAAGGTTACACAGGATTAGGTGGCAGAGCTGGGATTTGAAAGAGGCAGCCGGCTTCCACAACACCCTGCTGTCTCCTCTAGAGCAAAACATAAATACCACAGGGTGTTTTCTCTTCAGGAAGGGAGACTTCTTGCACAAGGGCACTTCAAAAAGTTCAGGGAAGAAAAGAATTGAAATATAATATGAATCTTCCATGAGCTTTTTGAAGTGCCCTTGAATTTATAAATAATTCAAGTTTAAAGCAATAAGTACAATGCATGATATGTGCAGGGTCAATACATGTCAGCTGATGCGGACTGCAGATGTGACTGCCCAGAGAGACAGAGAAGCCTCCTCCACCAGATGCCAGCACTCTGGGGGGAAGGAGTCAGGAAGGCAGCCCCGGAACCGCAGTACCCAACAGGAGACACAGAGAAAGGATGGGGACTGAAGAGCTGGGGTTAATGTCACTCGCTCCAGTCTACTTCAGCTACAAAGGAGGAGAACTAATCTACAGACCACAGCTTTGTCATAAAAAACACCCATCCTCGGGGGTGATGGACAGGAGAGAAAGCGACGGGAGCACATACTTGGTCTCGTTGGCACATCGGATCTTGCAGCCTTCCCTGGGAATCACCAAGCCCAGGTGCATTCGCAGCCTGCAGTTTGTGGGCCCCGTGTGTGGCCACACATGAGTTCCGGGGTGCATGATGGAATATTTGATCTGCGCAAAAAAGACAACACTCTGTTCAGCCACTTATCTAGGTGTCAAAGTGACAGTAAAAATTTACCATCAGTTTGGATTACAACCTTTGTTTTTCTATATATATCAGAATGTATATTCACGTGTTATTTCTTTGTGAAGGAACTAAAAATAAGCACCTCGCACTTTCCACAAAGTGATAAACACTGAACATTTCCACCTTCAATTTTGATGTCAACCACATGAAATTATGTTTCATTAAAAAGGGAATGGAGGGCCGGCCCGGTGGCGCACTGCTACAGTGCGCCGCTTGGGAAGTGTGGCGGCGCTCCCGCCCGAGGGTTCGGATCCCACATACAGACCGGTTCCCGCTCACTGGCTGAGCGAGGCGCGGGAACAGCACCGAGGGTTGCAATCCCGTTGCTGGTCCCCGGTCTGGTACGGGGGCAACACTGAGGGTTGCGATCTGTTGCCGGACACAGAAAAAGACAAAAGACAAAAAAAAAAAAAAAAGGGAATGGAAAAAAGTGGCATTCATCTGGCCAAAGGAAGTGACTGTTTCCCTGGAAAGGTCTGCACTCTCTTATTTATAACAACCATCATCTGTGTTCTCCCCAGTGGTGGAAACACCTGGTACCTGTCCTCTTCTGCATCCTGTCGTCTCAGGGAACTTTTCTAGTAAAGTACAGGTTTTAGGAGCTCCTTTACAGGCATTTTCATTTTTCCTTCCTAGAACGACAATGATAAAATCATTGTTAGAAACAAATTGCAGCAAAGCTTTAACTCATCCTATGTGGACAGAATGCCACCTATACAGTCATCCTCGCTGTAGGGACAACAGGGCCAAGTAAGCATGAGAAAATGACGTGTCTTCCTCCAGTAGAAAGTGACTGGCAGAGCAAGGATCTGAACCCTCCACTTAGTGTTGGCCTAATTTGACTAAGGATGTCTAATGGACAAGACATGTGTTAATACTCACTTTTCTCCCTGTGGCAGGTAGAATAATGGCTCCCTTGTGTTCATACCCTAATCCCAGGAATCTGTGAATCTGCTGTGTCACATGGCAAAGGGGAATTAAGGTTGCAGATGACATGGAGAGACTATGTCAGGAACACAGACTCTGGGACATGTCCTCAAGCACTCTGAACTGTGCAAATTTCTTCGTCATCTACAAAATTACTATTTATTAGGAAGATGTGCTCAGAAATGTACATAGCCTCACTTGCTGTCATGGGAGAGTACAACAATGCACTTTCTAAAAGACAGAACATTTTAATTCCCTATTCAAGATCCCTATATAGGACTGCTCCATCTAAAGCTGGTTTAATTTTATTTAACAAATGTTAGTTGTGGCCAAAGATAATCATATGCTGAGAATAAGATGAGAGAAATGCAACTTAAAGTTAATTGGCCTTAATCAAATGGACCTCAATACTTTAGAAAACAACTTCTATATCTTTATTAGCTTTCAATTAATCTTTTTCCCTCTTGATTGAGTAAAATGTTAGTTGCTATTTTTAATTATTAAAGTAGTACCCCAATGAGTTGAACAGTAAATGTTAGTTTGAACATTCAAATGTCTAAGCCATTATAAAGCATTTTAAAGCTCTAGCTTTCATGCTTTCCTGTATGTGAAGTCTGAGGACCACTTGGTAGGAGTCCCTAATTCTGGCTTCTGTGCTGTTCAGGGAGCAGTTAAGTGAAGTGTGGCAGCTTGAGGAGTAACCAGGGGTGGCTGGACTTCCCACAGGCATGATGGTGAGGGCTGAGCAATCAAGAACAGGTGTGCCTTACCTAAATGGTTGGTAATGAAGGAGTAACCCAATGGATTGTATGATTAGGATTCCCATTTGGCCAGGACTGGACTAGAGAGCATCTCTGGCCCTTTGGAAACATATATCTTTTCTAGCCTAAAAACAGAACCTCTGTAGGAGGAAAGGCTGTACAGTAAAAGTTGACATTTGTGGATTGCCACTGGTAGTTTTAATCATTCACATGTGATCTATGAGGGTCCAAGGAATGCGACAACATTGCCATGGTGCTCACTATGGGTCAGGAACTGCTCTGCATGCTTAGAGTGACTCATCCCATGTCCACAACACCAGGTAAGGGAGGCACAATTAGTGCTGTATTTTACAGAAGGGAACTGAGGCATGGAGATGTCACTTAGTAATTGGCAGAGCAGGAACTTCAATTCAGCCAGACTGGACCCAGAGTTCACGCTGTTAATCAGCACCCGAGCCCATCTCCATTACTGTTATTATTACACAGTGTGCTATTGTTATGTAATAAAAATGTAGTATCATTATTATATATTGGATAACTGTGTCAGATCTTTCACTGAGTGCTCACTGATCCTAGCAACAACCCCATACTTGAGGCATGATTTTCATTGCCATTTTTCAGATGAGAAGTTTGGGGCTCAGTGATTCAGGAACATGCCCACATCACACAGCTAACAAGCTGTGCATCCAGGATTGTTGATTTCTAAAACCTGTGCTTTAAAGTATAATTTCTCGTTTTGTTGCACCATAGATTAGAAGGCAGCTGTGCAGAAGGAAACCAGTCAAGTAGTCAATGGGAGGAAGCATGCCCAGCATCTGCAACTCAATGTGGCTTTGTTGTTGTTTCATTATTTCTCGCCAAGTTTAAAATAACTGTTAATTAATAGTAAACTTTGTTTCTTTGGAAAAATGGCCCTGTAAAGAGATCTAACTGACAATGCATACCTGAAAGAATCATTTGAATATGTAATTTACACATGAATACACTTTATGAAGGATAGTCATGGAACTGGGGTCTTGGGTTGTATCCTTAAGTTTTAAGGCTCTACTGCTGGGGTGACAACAGGTTCCACCTTGCATGACAACTCTGATCAATCGGTAGTGGCTGCTTAGAACAACACCATGTTGAGAAAGATTCAGAGGTTCACCTTGAGCTCAACAGAATGACTATTAGGACCAGTTAGTACCATTTCCCATGGGCTCTAGAACAAAAAAATGACTGCACATGTGTGGCATATTTGCTAACTGTATGTTTTAGTCATTGTTGGAGACGATTATTAAAATGCGAGCAAAATGGATGCTCTGTAATATTCACATAGCAATTTAAAAACATATTTGTGGGGTTGGCCCGGTGGCACACTCGGTAGAGTGTGGCGCTTGGGAGCGCGGCGGCGCTCCCACTGAGGGTTCAGATCCCATATAGAGACCGGTCTGCTCACTGGTTGAGCGCAGTGCGGGCGCGACACTGAGGGTTGCGAGGGTTGCGATCCCATTGCCGGTCGCAGTATGGGCGCGACACCGAGGGTTGCGATACCGTTACCAGTCACGAAAAAGACAAAAAGGAAAAAAAAAAACACACACACACACACACACAAAAACATATTTGTGGAGCCGAGCCCGTGGCGCAGTCAGTAGAGTGCGGCGCTGGGAGCGCAGCAGCGCTCCCGCCGCGGGTTCAGATCCTATACAGGGATGACCGGTGCGCTCACAGTGCTCACTGGCTGCGCGCAGAGCAGCCGGTCTCAAAAAGGACAAAATAAATAAATAAATAAACAAATAAATAAATAAAAACATATTTGTGGGGAAAAATGATTATGTATACTTGCTGATTTTTTTTTTTATTCAACTCTAAAAAATTGACCATTTAAAAAGGAATACAATTCAGTACTGATTATACTACTTAGGGACTATATTAGTTTGCTACGTCTGCCGTAAAAAAAAGCCACAGATGGTGGCTTAAACAACAGAAATTTATTTTCTCACAGTTCTGAAGGCTGGAAGTCCAATGTGTCTTGCAGGTTTGGTTTTTTCTGAGGCCTCTCTTTTCCTGGCTTGCAGATGGCCACCTTGCTGTGTCCTCACATGGCCTTTCCTCAGTACATACACAGCCCAAGTGTCTCTTCCTCTTTTTCTAAGGACCTAGTCCTATTGGATCAGGTCTCCACCCTTATGACCTCATTTAATCTTGAGCACATCCTTACAGGCCCTGTCTCCAAATACAGTCACACTGGGGGTTAGGGCTTCAACATATAAATGTGTGTGGGGGGGCGGATGTCACAGTTCAGTCTATAGCAGAGGCCTACCATGATTTCATTTCCCATTTGGATAGAAACAAAACTTCCAGCCACAGCTTCAAGGCCTTCATTTACTTAGCAGCATGCTTTCCTAACAAGGCTAGACAACCGTTCAGTCTTCACTAAGCTAGATATACATCGGCCTCTTTGTCCGGACCTAAACTCTCAATGTGGCTAAGCAAACTGCCCTGTCGCCTTCCTCCCCCCATGTCCCCCATCCCTCCTTCCACCCCAGGATTCCCTCTCCTCTAATTCTGACTACGGCACCTGAGATGGCTTCTGCTTTTAGGAATTCCATTCTGCTTCTGTGTAAACTACGATAGCACTTGCTTCCACAGTTATTCTTTACACTGTGAATTTATTTCCAGAAAATATTACTGGATCCCTCCTAGAAGCCTAGAACCACAAACAAAAGGCCACAAAAGGACCTTAAGTCTTCCTAAGAAAGAAAGTTTGTGAGTTATATTCTTTTATGACAATAAAATAAAACTGGAAGTTAATTTTTAAAAGTTGAAGGAACTGGAATAGATTGAAAAATACACGGCTCATCGCACATACACACACACACACGCACACCCACACATTATTTGGAGTCAAAATGGAAATCTTTTTTTTGGTGATCACTCAAGTGAAAACTACCATACATTATGGCTTATGAAATGTATCCAAAGCTATACCTAGAGATCAGTACTCAAAAGTTTTTATTAATAACGCAGAAATGAAAAAAAATTACTAAGAAGTTCTAACGAAATACTTAAAAGAACAATAAAATAAATAACAAAAAGAACAAGTGGAAGAAGAAAAAATACAAAAGCAGGAATTAGAAAACATAGTCCTAATAGTATGTCAGAAGTAATTTCACAAATTTTTAAAAACAGAACAGGTAAAACTTTGTAGTACTTAAGAGAGAAAACAAGAACATGCAAATTCCATTTGATGGGAATAAGAATTAAATAAAAATAATAAGAAAGTAAAAAAACTTTATAAGAAGTTACTCTGAATAGTTCATGGAAAATCAGGTATAATTGACTTATGTGAAACTTAAAAGTCAAAATGCTGACTCTGACCAAATTATTGTCTCCATTATTTATTTTCTTTAAGGCTTAATACTTTTACATGCCCTATAAATAATACTTTGCATATTTCAACTTTATCAAATAACTTTTTTTTTTAAAGCAGAGACTATGATTTTTGGAAATTATTGCCAGGATGCATGCTATTCTGAAGCATTGCTCAAGGAAGCCTGGTAGCTTCTGTGGAACATAGGATGCTGATAGAATCAAAGTACCAGGTGAAGGCTTAAGCGCCAATAGAGCGGACTCCTCTCAGTGACATGCCCAAGATAAATTAGCATGTTGCCCATACATGGGCCACATAGCTCCATTAAAATGTCTTTTTGGCAAAAAAGCTGATAGAGTCCCTTGAAATTATGTGACCTCTCTTCTGATGGACGTATCCTTGAAAATCTTACTGAAGTCGTACCACTTCTTACATAGGAACTATTCTGAAGGCATAACTGAGACAAACCACTGTCCACATCTGTCCTTTTATGTAAATAGATTGCTTATCATACTCTGAATTTTTGTGTAGCTAAAGATGTGCAGCACCTGCTGTGTAGTCTTCAAAACGGGTTTACTATTGTATAGTTATAGTTAGCCCAGGCTAACTTGACTTTTCAAGAAGAGAAGTGGAAAGAGCCCTAAAGATCAAATCCAATGCTCCTCCAATTTTAGAGGTGGATTAATACACTCACTCACTGAACACACACATATTGGAGCCCTGTCTGTGTGCCTGGACCTGGGTTAAGCTAAGGAATATAAAGTTGAATGTGAACCACTTCCTATTCCTGATGAGCTCAGCGAGGAGTTAGTACTGTCTTGTCACTGGGGTGTGTTACCATTTCTACAACTCTCCCCCCCCCCCTCCATGGGGATGTCATTTTGGCATGCAACATCACTTCCATTCTGCAGGAGCAAATGAGGCTCAGAGATCCTGCTTTCTAAGACACTGATACGCACATGCTGGACCTTTCAGTTATGCCTACCCTGTATGGTTACTGTCAGTAACACATTATCCAACAAGAAAGACCGGGAAAATCAAAATACTATTTATATATACATGCACATACACACAAATAAGTGCTCAGATGTAGTTTTTAAAAACAGTGAATGGATATCAAAAGTATAGGTTTACCGGACCATCTCCTTCAAGTCTGGGAATGCCATCTCTGGGAGGTATCACCAGAAGACTCTCGTCAGTGCCCGCTTCTCAACAGGTCACTGGCTGCAGAGGACCATCTAGAAGTCAGGAGCTCACCTTGCTGCCACAGTGTAAACTGGCTCCAGTCACCCTTCTCCCTCAGGTTTTCATCTTCAGGTAGGAAGAGGCCTTTGGCTCTATCCATCACTGCAAGGCCTTCATCTCGGATTAACTTCCAGTTTCTTTCTAAAGACTAGAGGAAAGAGTCCGGCTTTACTGGACTGAAAATGTGCCTGGTAATACACACTTTATAATGACTCTCAGCTTTTGTTTGTTTAATAAAGTAACAAAATGTTTGCTCTCATCTAGATTGCTTATATTTCAATTTCTTTTGGGTCTTCTTGTTAAGGTATTAAATAAAAAAACCCAAACTTAATATTATTTTTCTGAACCAAATGCCTTTGCAGCATAAAATTTTCAATAATTCCTAGAAACCTCAGAGAATAAGCCCCTCCACAATTTGTTTTAGGTTTTGTTTGCTTGTTTTTAGAAACCAAAAACTAAGAAGAGTCTTGATCTTGCTGATCATATTACATCAGCCCACTACAATAAGCTCCACGTGGCATGACACTGAAGCTTTCAATCTGGAATACAAATCATGGACTTAATCTCACCTTTCAATAGAGTTCCTTACAAAGATGTCATTCAACATGGTAAAAATTAATTAAACTTTCAAAGACATCAGAAAAGTGTCCATTGGAACATCTGATATTTTATAAAATTAACATAAGAACAAAACAAATAAATGCTGTAGTGTTTAGGATTCAGCTACACAAAAATATTTCCTTGACTCCTCATACATTAGGGTGCTTTAGCCCCTGTCAGAGTGTGGGCTTAGGACCAGCAGAGCCTGGTGCTGGTGGTTCCGGTGGAAGGAGCGTCCTGGCAATCTTCACTGTCACACTGTGCTATGGGTGATGGGTGGGAGCGGCGGGGAAAGGTGGCAGATGTGAGCATCTGAGTGGCAAATGAGATGAGCTGCTACCACGAGAAAAGAATATAGCATTCCCACCACAGGAAAGAGACAAAGTTGTACAGATAAACCAGGATTTTGAAATGTTTAACAATTTTAATCATCTTTGTTACAGGAGAAGTGGCTGAAATAGTTGAGTAGATCGATTCGGGAATAGGGACGAACCTACCAGCTGATTTCAACAAGAGTCAGGGGCCAGATATATTTTAAGTGGCTCAAGAGCATGGGCCTGGAGTTAATAAGTGATGAAGAAAAAGACTGACACAAAAAATGAAAACAACCGTCAGCACTCTCTGAAAATGGATGGAGTTGCCCTGTAAAAACATGGGTAAAAACATGGGCTGCTATCTTTTGAATTAGTCAAGCAAAATGACCAATTATCGGGTGGAGCAAAGCACGAGAAAATGTGCAAAGTGTTTTTACTAACCCATGCCCTGTGAATCCATGATTCAGCATAGGGAGATGACAAGGACAACAGCACAGGTGGAGGACTCTGCCAAACACAGACACGGGGCTTTGTGTGAAAACATGGTGCCAGCCTCAGCCAACCCAGGGAATGCTTTCCACGTTGTATGAAAACATAATGGTCATTACAATATTCCAGGACAAGAAGGGGATTTTGATTAGATACTGATTTTATAATTCTATTTCTGTGACATCCACCCACTGATTCATGTTGACATCTACACCTGTTCCTACCATTGCCCTGCTTAGGGCAGTGCTGGTCATTTATCCACTGTTAGTTCTTAGTCCTCCAACTAGTTTCTATATTACTTCATCCAAAGGAGGAAGCTGGTAACTAGCAAGTCAAAGATAGCATTTCAATAAAGAGATACTCAAAAGTCCTCACTTTATCAGGCCCCCAGGTTGAGAGAATACTATGTTTTTGTCAAGAATCCCAAGATCATGATAAGGAAAAAAAATGCACCTCAGGACTGTGCAGTCTGTTCACATGTCAAATGCACCTAAATTGGCGACACTCACTGCGGTTATTGTTAATTTGTTCAAGTTGCTAGATAAATCTGTTAGATTCTTGTTAAACTGTCACACAGACAAGGGGAGAATTACCTCTCGAACACATGAAATTACTTTCCAAATGAGGTTACCGGCGCCTTATATGGGCAAGCTCTTCCTTCTCTCCCCGCTTGGTATTCTAGTTTCTTTCAGTTCTTTTGAAAGCTGATTTAGGGGCATGGTTGGAAAGAGCTGATCTTTTGTTACTAAAATAGGGCACAAAGCCCTAGGGAAGAATGTTAAAGTGATTGAATCACTCAATACAATTAATTTTTTTTTTAACTTAAGAATAGGCTGTCTTGTATCTGCAAAATGTCCTTTCTGCCCCCTTTCCCCCCAACCCCCCGGGAAGTGTTGCCAAGGTACTTTTCCATGAGTAGTAATTAATTTTTAAAAAATATTTTGCTTTCCCTTGTCATATGAGGCACACGTGTTGGATGACAGACTCATGCTCAAAAGGAGCACAGTGGTGCAGAAGGGTCTCCCCAGCACCCGACTCAACACTTACACTAAGATGCCACAGACATGCCCATTCCTCACCAAGCACTGCATAGATCCTTAGTTCATTTTTATTATAAAACAGCCACTTGCTATTTTTCCTTTTGAGTTTAAAAACTGTCATAGAATTTCACAACTGGAAGGATCTGTACTGTTGATCTACCTGCAATTTTTTCACATTAGGGATGACAAAATGACTCTTGGAGTGGTTAATGAGCCTCACATCCCACCATCTAGTGGCCAGAAGTGCTAGAGCCAAAACCCAGCTCTGCTGTCTCCCCCTTGATTATGCCTCCTTCACCTGTGGGAGGAGAGAGGGTCACCCTTCAGCACAGGGATTTCAGTGTGCGGTAGCCTCTGGGGCCCTGTTCCCTTCTGGAGCATGAGAGCAATCATGGGGGCCCATAAACTTCCATACACAGTGATTTACTGGGCACCCATTGGTGTGGGCATTGGTCAGGAGCAGGCTTTTTCGAGATTCTTGGAGGGCAATGTGCACCCCACTGAGTACTGTGCAGAGGGCACGCCTCAAAGACTGTTCACATCCTTGACAAGTGGGGAAAACCGAGTGAGCCAGAAGATCGCACCAGTTAAACCTGGTGACATAAAGAAAAGCATGAAGATAACAACAGTCATGATCTCCTACGTATTCAAGGTACACATTTTTTGGACCAAAGTAATGACTGCCCTTGGGGGTGTTTCCAACTTTGGAAAGACACACCAGGGTCTTTTATGGGCATTAGGGAGAAATCTGGGATAGAACCTGGGAATGTTTTTTTAAGTACACACCGAGGAATATTATATAAAATTCACATGGTTACAGCAGATTAAAGACCAAATCTAATTACACAGGGTGTGTATGTATGTGTATGTCTTAGTCCCTTTGGCCAAAATATCATAGACTGAGTGGCTTATAAACAGCAGAAATTTATTTCTTGCAGTTCTTGAGGCTGGGAAGTCCAAGATCAAGGCACCAGCAGTTTTGGGGTCTGGTGAGAGACACTTTCTGGTTCATAGGTGGTGCCTGTGTGCCACATGGTGGAAGGGAAGACCAAGCTCCCTCAGCCTCTTTTGTAAGAGCACTAGTTCCATTCATGAGGGCTTTGCTCTCATGTTAATTACCTCCAAAGGCCCTACCTCTTAATACCATTATCTCACGGGTTACATTAGAACATACGAATTTTGGTGGGGCAGGGGGACATAAACATTCAGACCATAGCAGAGAGAGAGAGAGAGAGAGAGAGTGTGTGTGTGTGTGTGTGTGAGAGAGAGAGAAATATATACATTTTCTGTACAGTAATATCAATCAATTGTCTGAGATGGCAAAGAGATCCATTTTTCAGGAAATTCCAATAGGAACCTGAAGGCTCACACAGAGCAGACATTTTTTTTTTCCTTTTTGTCTTTTTTTGTGACCGGCAACGGATCGCAACCCTCAGTGTTGCCCCCGTACCGGACCGGGGACCGGCAACGGGATCGCAACCCTCGGTGTTGCTCCCGCACCTCGCTCAGCCAGTGAGCGGGAACCAGTCTGTATGTGGGATCCGAACCCTCGGCGGGAGCGCTGCCGCACTTCCCAAGCGGCGCACTGTAGCAGTGCGCAACCGGGCCGGCCCCAGAGCAGACATTTTTAAGTCTCATCTGAAATGTTTCTTCATTGACCCTAAATTCATCCATTTCATAAAACTGATAAGAGAAACTAATAGCATTGGTATTTGAGTTGGTTGCCCAAAGACACAGCTTCTAATTCATATTTATTCTTGTGGCTACAGAGACTTTAGAAAACAGAGACTGGATTGTTTTTACAGTGCTACATGGCTTCATAAACCCATCATCAACACTTGCCTTGTGTGTTAAACCTCAACTGTGTTGGGCACTCTAGTCATCTATAAATGGGCTTCCCAGTTTCAAGTCTCATTAATTCTACAATACATCCCAGCTCTACTTAATTCAAACCCTCCGTCAAGTTAAAGGCAATTTCTTCACCTTCCCAGATATCCTGCTCATCCCACGTGGAGTGTGCACTTTCTCTTTAACATCAAGATAAATTAAAATTAAGTCCTATTTTTTAAGTCTTCTCTTAAAATTAACTTGTTGCAGAAGGTCTTTCTTTTGACAAGCAAACTAAAGCCAAACTAATCGTATTTAACTATGTTCCTTCCTGATATTTTCAGTCAATTTCAAAAAACATTTTTTTTTTTTTAAAGTCAAATATTACTACAGGTCTTACAATGAAAATAGCAGTCTCTTTCCCAACTCTTCCCCAATCCTCAGTCTAATCCCCAGCTAATTATTTTAAATATTTCTTTTGTTATTTACCTGCTTACATCTAAATAGCATGTTTATATTGCTATTCTGGGTTTATTAATTTTAGACATTATCATTTATCTCTTGGGGAAAGTTGACATTTAAACATTTGATGTCTTCTTTTTTCCTCTTCTGCATTCTTGCAATACAGTTAACTTCACAAATCTTTTATGTATCTGGGTAAATTCACATTCAGGTTTTATAATATTATGACAATGAGGTATCATTCACACTTGAATTGAGCTGTAATGACTACATTTCACATGCAGCTTCTAAGAAAATTCTACCCCCTTTTTGTTGGCTTAATTTTCTAATGCACTTAACAGTATTTCATTAACTCTGAAAAAGTGCCATGAAATCTCTTGATACTATTCTATCCTTTGCAAAACATCATATACTCT